TGTATTTAGATAGACTTTCTATTATAATTTCCTTTTTTTTACTTTGTCTGCTGCAGGGTAGACGGAATCTGCAGCAAATTGTTACCATTTTTATGTAACTCTACTGTAACATGCTAACATTTAATCACTTACTTGACTTAATATAATAGTACTCAGGTAAAATTTGGCTTCTTAAAATAAGAATACGTTTAATTTTGTCGACTCCTTTAGTACAATGTACATTTTGTGACGATGTATTGTGTTAGTTGAGATTGTTTTATACTGCTACCGCTAGATGTCTCTATAAGTAAAGTATAGTCCGGTGTGCTAGTTTGAATCTGTCTTGTGATTGGTAACTTAAAGATAAAATTGTCCATTGTATAATTGGTTCTGATTGGTAAACGTGTATTAGCTGAACATGTATATAAGGTGTGACTTGAAATAAATCGGCCTCTTAGCTCTACTCTTAGCTCCTCTGAGGCCTCTTTGATCATCTCACGTGTCTGAATTCGTGACTAACACCAGTGAGTATTGTGTATGTTTTACCTTCATAAAGCACTCTGCCACAAAGGCGTAACAATTTGTAACAACTAGATCGACGTCTTTCGTTAGTACTTTAGTTCGTCAGCAGATTCAAAGCTCATCAGATATTTAGCATTAAAGCCTCGGTCACAACCGGCCGTACGGGCTCTCACGTCCCACGCAAGTCCTTCTTACGAAATTTTGAGTTCGCAGACAGCCCGTAAGCACGTACGCAGGGTGTTGGACATGTCCAAAAGATTCTACGAATAGCCTGCGAACAGCGAAGCCGCAAGTGTAACTTGATTTTCAGACACAATAGGCCTACTTTACAAGCTGAGTGGACGTGTGTGGTGGGATGCACTCATCCCAACCCAAACCTAACTGCCATAGTTTCTGAAATAAACATTTGACTGCAATGGTAAAAGGCAAAAAAAAAAAAAAAAAAAAACCGATGGGATCAAAGATCCTGAAAATGACGCTAAGAACTAACATTTCTGTTATTAACTGTTGTGATTGTGAAACACTATATTATGGTTGTGGGCTGTCTTGATAAAGCGCCATCCAGTTGTCAGCACACGCTGAAGAAGCGCGTGATATAAACTAAGAACCACTCGACTACGAGACACCGGACAGAACATACCTTGGGCATCAAATCCACAATCTGCGAGCATTCCTTGACCAATACCATATTTACTTAATTATACCACTATAGCTGACATTAAGCAATAGTGTCATAGTAGATATTGATCATGGAGCGGTTGTGAAGACGTACCATGATTCCTATGAGTGGAATATAAGGTAAGTGGTCTACGCCCCTGATCAGGGCGTGACAGCCGCCTTTTTGTGTGTCACTGCTAGTTAGACTGTAGTTATCACAAGGATAAGTGAATTTAGCCACTCGGGTTCACTTCATTTGGCGACAAGGAAAACCGAGCCCGTTTCCTGTTCTTTGATCAATTTTTGGTGCAAGAAATTTTTAATTCCTTTGTCTGCTACCAAATATGGATGGGGGGGGGGGGGGGGGGAGTGAAAGTTTATTTAACTCACGATCCGTGTGCAGGGGTGGCAATACTTTTTATTGTCCAACATACCCTTGTACGTCCATTTGGTGGTATATGAAAGTAATGATTTTGGTTACTAAATTTAAAGATTAAAAGGAAATTTCTTTCATCTAAATTTGATTATAAAGTAATCTCACTTATTCTTGGGAATAACATAAGGTACCCCAGACTAATTGGTAGTGATCGGTTAATATATACTGCTATTATCTGTTTCTTAAAGGTAAGGGTTTATTTTTATAAAATTTATCTTAGAATTTACCACATTTGGAGATTTATTCAGGGAACATTTTCTTATTTCTTTGTTTAGGTTGAAGTTTTTCGGGGAATTTTGAATCAATTTTTGTGGGAAGGTATTTTTGGGTTTACATTTATTTTCAATTTTTTATAAAATTTTATGCAAAAGTGAACCTTTGACTTCATTTATTGTATTTCCGGCTACATTTAGCTCACAGACAGCAGTATATATTCACATTGCCCATTCCATTGTCTTTTACAAAATACCCCTCAGCCCTATTTTTGACCTTTTCCCTGACCTTCTCAGTGAATCTGAAAGTTCCGGATCACTAGAAGACAGGTCTTCTGATTAACTCGCACACTAATTGGGGACAGGAAGTGCCTCTTTTACAGAAATTTGCTGGGTTAGTGTGACCTTTGACTTGTCAAGTTACAACAATGTCAATGGGATCTAAGGTAGATCTTAGCATAGCTACCTGTGATGAGCTAATTAGAGTGCCTGGTATAGGTAAAAAACACGCAGAAGCTCTTTTAGATTTCAGGAGTAATAATAAGGTATCTTCTCGGATGAGCACAAAAATTTTGGTCAAAACTAAATCTAAAATGTTGCCCCATTTTTATTCTTCAAAACTATCAATATTTTAAAGGGGCAAAACCCAAAACATTATTTCTCCCCAACCTCATCCATTTATGATGCCTAAACCTGTCCACAAAGAGCTAATGCAATTCCCCACATCTATTGATTTCTCATTCTCTGAGGTTATAAGTAATGAACAAACAGCTGAAATTTAACAATTATTAAAGTAAAGTGAACAACTCAAAATAACAAAATTAATTTTTTTTTTTTTTTTGTTTATAAAACAGAATCAAAATCTTAGTGTAAAGTTTAAAGTAAGCCACCCAAGTACATGTGTAATATTCAATCAAAAATATATATATTTAAAAACAGCATATCATTACTAGATATTCAGGAGTTTGAGAAAGATATGGAAGAAATTACATAGTCTTTGCCAATTGATTTCTGCATTCCCCCAGCCCAATGTTATTGGAATAGTGAACATTTTGGGAAGGGAAAGAATATCAGCTGTTACCTTATGTCAAAGTCCATATCCTGAATTTATTTACCCTTTGGGATATTTAACATCAACAAATCCCTCAGTTCAAGCAGTTTTTCGGTGACAGTTTCCCAACCCTGATCTTGATGATTTGCTACCATACTTGAGAAATCCAAGCCAAAATTTATCCCCTCTTTACAACCCATCCCTTTCAAACATCAGGCACTAATCCTGACATGCTTATTCTGGTGCCTGGTAGCCCCCAATATTTGGAAAAATTTCCAAAAATCTTTAAACCCAAACCCATTTAATACACAGGATGCTCCAGGTGATGTGCCCAGTGTTCCCCATCCAACTATTAGTGGATTATCAAAACATTGGGTACAGCAGCTCTGACTGAAGAAAATCCTGTTGAGTATTCTCATCCACCTTTTTTCTACTCTTTAACTTGTTGGGGTCAGAAAGGGCAATAAAAATTAAACCATCTAATTTGCCTTAGGATGAAAAAAAGTTCTCAAAATATACAGGGCTATCCAAAGTCAGTGAAAACCTCCACCTTTCCCCAAGCCGAGGTTACACATTCCCAGTTATAAAAAAAATTCTAAAGATCTTCTTAAAAATCCTTTAAAAATTAGGAGGACTGAGATGACTTTAGATGAGTGTTCCAAAGCTACAGGGAGGTAAATGGCTGGATGGAAAAATTAGTGCAAAGATCACCAGTATATACATTGGAGCTTAAGGTGTAACATCATTAACTTATGCACCAAATCAGTGTGTTCCAATTTCTTTTGCTGCCTTGATCAGTGAGCTCAACACTGTTTCAAAGGGAAATCTCCCAGAAATTTCACATGCAGAGTTCTATCAAGCAGTAAAAAACCCAAACTAATTTTTAAATGAGTGGACATGCTAGGTTTTCTTACTGGCCACAGACGTGTTCCTAGATCTACCCACACGCGCGTGTTTTATGAATTTAATGTTTCTCATCAAACAAGTGCCACTCCTTAGGTAATTTAAAACTCTATGAACACAATAAAAAGGAGGGAAAAATGCCTTCCACGAAAACTGAAAAAAAGTTTGTAGTTCAATTTTACACCCCAAATAAAGACGTAAAGACTGCCAAAATGGCATACAGTCAAGTTTCCAATGCGTTGTGATGAAGGGTTGAAAGTAACTCGTCATACGTCGAAAACACATTTATCTCTTTCAAAATCGTGATTTAAAAATTACCATTACAAGAAAGACAGTGAACAGCCTATTTCACCGAATTCTAACATCGCTGATTTATGTATATTTTTTTGTAAATAAATAAAAGCCATTAAAAAACAATGATAACAACTTAGAAAAAAGTCACATAGTGATTTTTATTCATGTTTTCTAATACAAAGCAAAAAAAAAAAAACAAACAAGACAAAAGAAGCACAACTAAAAGTTGTATAAGTAACAACAATCTAGGATACTAATTTTACTGTTGCAGACATGAGAGTTAACATACAAAAATACACACGTGGAACTTATGAATAGCAAAACAGGGAAGCTTATTAAGAGCTTCGGAAGGGATTTTCTTTAACACCATTCTGTACGAGAACCATGCGGCCCTCATATCCTAAATATAATTTACTTTTGTAACCAGCAGTTCAGATACAATGAAAAAAATTTACGCTGAAATCTAACACCATTGACATTTTATTCCGTAAATAAATTTTTAAAAAATTAAAAACTTTTCGAAAAAGTCAGTCCTTGTCTATCTAATTCCTTTACTCATTTTTCGAGCTTAAAGCAAACAACAAGAAATAAAAGCATTAATAAAAGGTGCATCACTATCTGTCATCTAGAATAATGACTTAGCTGATGTTATTATGACAGTTAACATACAAAAAATGCATACTTAAGCTTTATTGAAAAGAAATGAACAAAAAAAGAAAGAAAAAAAGAAAAAGGAAAAGAAAACGGACGTTGATTAAGAACCTCTGAAGGGATTTTCTCAAAAGTCATAGCGCATTTGTACCAAGTGACGCTTATGTAACAGTGGATTACCCCGCTTTAAAAATTCAACGTTTTGAGATATTCTTGGATTTAGTACCTAAAGCTGAAAAAGTTCTAATAACCCTATGAAGTAATCTCTGTGATAAACAAATATTTTGCCCCGACGTTTATTTACCCAAGCATACGTAACACAAAGCATAATAGTAATAATAATAGCAATACTGAGAAACACCGATATAGGGGCAGTAGTATCCAAGCCTCAAGCAACTGTCCAAGTAGCAAGCTCGCTTCTGGCGATTACCTCCTGAAATATAATATAATATAATATAATATAATATAATATAATATAATATAATATAATATAATATAATATAATATAATAAGCAAAATTCGAGACAATGGCTCACATTTAATGCCCTGCACATTTTATATACAAAGTAATCAATGAGTTTACTGCACTGGCACTGTTGTACGTTTTGCACCGAGTAACAATTAACATTTAATAGATTAATCCTGTGCGCACCTGCCGGTGCTTGGGTTTTGGCGCTCTCTACAATGTTGTCGTCCTTCTGGGTAAGCCAGTATGCCTCCAGATCCCTGCAAAATTCCTGCATTCTGGGACTTAGGAAGGACTTGTCCTTGATCGGAGATGTGTTGACAACGAATCGCTTTTGTTCAATATCTTCATATGTGGTATTTTCGACGGTATTCTAAAAACATGATGGTATAGGTTAGATTACGGTTTTATTCATACATTGCACATGTTTAAATGCCACTTTATATCTTTAAACACAATTAAAAGTAATGTGTATGTTTAGATGTAAACACAGATTCAAAGTTCGAATTAATACGAAGTAAATCGTACCGATTGTTCCAAAGCGTTGGCCACGTCCTTGCTGTCAGTCTCTTCAGATTTGTTCATTGGAGTCAAGTAACAAGCAAACTTGTTGTTCATTTTCATCTTGTATACTACCAGACTCTAAAAAGATACAAAACAGGACAATAAACTGTTGCTTAAAATGATGGAATATTTCAACAGAATATTTGGGAATTCTTTTTTTCTTTCTTTTTTTTCATAAAATTGATTAAAACAGGTTCTGATGGAATATTAACATACCCCACAAAATTACTTCATTGGCATCTTAAACGCAACAAAATTAAAAGGGAATTACTGGTAAATGTAGAAATGTTACCTCATTGAATCTAGTACATTCTACAGATCTCAGCTTAAGGCCCAGTCACAAATCAGTTGCGATGCGTCGGGGATGGGTAAAACCCGGGAAATTTTAACAAAATCTTGAGACAGATCTCACGATTTTGCACCCGTCGGAGGCGATTTGTTAGACATCGCCACACCCGTCGCGGTCCCCAAATTTGAAACTAAAATTTTAAGATTGCTGGCAAGATTTTTCACCCATTTTGGGCATCCCAGACACCATCTCCGATGACCTACGATGCCCTCCGATTAATCGGAGGCGTCCTCCGAATAATCTGAGACTAGTCGCAAGATTCTGTGTGGGATTGGAAAATCAGGTTGAGATTCAATGTCTGGGAGTAGTCTCCGGCGCCCTCCGACTGAATCGGAGGCGTCCTGCGACGATTCGTACGCTTTATGTGATCGTCTCCGACGAATCGTACGGTGGAATCGTAGTAAATCGCCGTGTATATAAGGCCGCCTCCGACCGGATCGCTAAAAGTTTGAGACGCTCTTGCTGCAGGAGGCTGTGACAGAAGATTTTGAAGATGCCAAGGGATGCAATCGGAGGCGATCGGAGGCTAATCCAACGATTTTTCGACAAAACCGGGTCAAAATCCTTGAAAAAATCTCAGACAATGTGACTGCTCCACTTTTATTGGGATTATTGCTAGGATTGTTCAAGGATTCTTTATTTTCTACGACGACCCCCGGCCAAAACTAATCCTCGACAGATCGCCGACATTGTGACTGGGCCATTAGAGGTACTAAACCTTATTTGCATTGACAAAGTATAAGTAAATTAGCCCTTTTTTGATTAGCAATTTCACAATAGTTTTAAAACCGCCTCTACCCACCCTCGAGTTGTCCATGGCAACGTGGAACTTCTCGTTGTTCACGTTGTACACGGTGATGTTGTCCTGCAGATCAACCTGAACCGTTTCGTCAACTTTCTTCCCTTGCTTGTCGGTTAAACGGAGATGGTACTCCTGACGAAATAATAATAAAAATAATCACATATAGTAAGGTGATGATGGTGATGAGATTGTTAGTTTTGATTGCTCATTTCTTGGCACATAATTCCAAGGATTTCCTTTAAAACCAGATCGATGCGTTATTTCCCAAATATTCTGTTATTATTATTATTATTATTATTATTACTTTATTTTTTTATTATTATTATTAGTGATAAAGTATGCCCACCTTCCACACATCTTGTGCTGCCTTGTTAGAGATGTGAACTGCTCCCAATGTTCCACCGACAGCAACAGCAACAACAACAATGACAGCAACAGCAACAATGATGTACTTCTTGTACGACGCCTTGGTGTGAAATATAAAAAAAATGAAAAGGTAAATTGGAACAAAAGAATTCTTGGAATATAATATAATTCTCATCGCCAACTGTGCTGTAAAGTGTATACGCCAATTACATTCACCATTGCAAACATGGTAATTTCGATAAAACATGAAAATTCCATATTAGATTTGTGTTAAAACTAACTTAAAAATAATTTAAAATAACTCATCTCTTGACATGCATGCAATTTTATTATTGAAAAACGATGTTGATTCCTTCATAGAGAAACTTGAGACCCAGTACTCTGAAAATTAACAAATGCCGGACGGATGACTGTCTTTTCAGAAATAAAAATGTCTAAATATCTGCATAAGTCAACCTTTTTTCTTTACAGAATATTTTGAAGCGTTCTAAAAACTTAACTCACTAAAATAAAAAAGGGGGAATGAACCCCCCTCCCTCGCACATGTCGGTAAATAAACATGGTTACAATTTTAGACAAAAAAGCATGGTCTATATGACAAAGTTATTGTACAACTGGGCAAGGCTAAAAAATGGGCATTTACTGTTTAAAAAAAAATGAAAAACGATGAATATTCACAACAAAAGCAATGTGGCTGACGCGACTCAACTGTTCACTTTTTTGAGGAGTGACCCTACTTAGAGTAAAAAAAAATTCTGTCCTGTACATCTGCTAACTTGATACACTTACCTCAGAGGACCCACCATCTGCGATGACTGTCACACCTGGCTCGGAAGTCTTTTCACTTACAGTTGGCAGCATCATGAAAGTCTATCAAAACTCTTCTAGCAGAGAGCAGCACTCAAGGTTTTACTTTTTCCGACCGGTCGAGTTCGCCGTCTGCTTCTAGCTGGGCGTACTCTCCTTTTTATAGCTGCCATCACGGCGGGATATTTTTGACAAACAAGTTTTCGATTCCAAAGAACGAACACTGTCTTCCAAGTTTTTAAGCAGAAATAAACGCGCTTTCATATGTTGATGTGGTGGGAAAGTTTTCGACAACCAGAAAAAAAAGAAAAAAAACTAAGCATTTTTAAGTGTCTTATCAATGGTTGTGTAATTTTAAAACATGAGACTGGATGCTGACAACCTATCATTAAGTGATTATTTATCATATTTGAAAAGAAAATGATGAGGTGTCGCATTTTTAACTTACGCAATTCAAAAACAAAACAAGTAGGCATAAGAAAGGTTGAACTGATAAAATTTATTTATTCATTTATTTAAGAAACCACTTGGGACATTCACTGATGAATGTGAGTGGGATATTTGGTTAGACACACAATGCAATGTCCAGATTTTTTATTTCTCTTCAAATTGATAAGCTGTTCGGTTCTACAGGTATTCAGCCACACAGCAATTGTTTCAACAAGGGCTGACTTCACGATAAAAACTTTACCCCCTAAAGTGGTCTAAACTTATTACCGAAAAACCTCGTCCAGTGGTAGGCCTATATTTGTAGTCCAGTGGTATATTTCTTTTGAGAAAAAAGTTCAACGTAAATCAAATGAGAAGTGCCATGCATATGGACGTAAAAAACACTGTAACTCGAAAAGGTACAAAACTGCCTACTCAGCAACCACAACGACTTTAGAAGAAAAGGTGATTACAAAGCTATCAATCAATATTTGTGTTTAAAAGTATATAATTATCTCTAGGGCTTAGGGCCCTACATAATTAACTCGTGGGTTGCTATCATATCATCAGTGCCAAAATTAAAAGGCGTGACTGATGAAAGAATTGCATGGTAGTAAATAATTTTGCGTTGTAAACAGAAAAAATTGAGAAAAACGAACAAAAGGCTGAAAATACCACGACCCATTAAATAATTTTCAAATAAGTTTCGACAAAAAGACGGACGACTGAATCCATATAAGGCAACAGACATTAAGATAATGATACATAACGATACTATGTTGCATGACACTTCCTGGCACGCAGTAGGTGATGGCATGCGTTTTATAAAGAAACTGAACACTGAGTAAAATAAACAATATCCCGAGGCGGACACGCACGTGTTACAAGCTCACAAACAAAAAAAAATAAATAAATAAAAAATTGACCCGTCATGTAAGTGCATGGCAAACAACATAAGGTTTCAAACGTGTGAGGAGTCACGTATTAAAGCGAGGACGAACGTGAGGGGACTTCGGCAAACACAGAACTGAACGATAAGACTATGTTTGAGGGCAGCTGTTGAAGGCCTACAATTTTAATTAAAATACAAACAGGTGATAAAATCGTGAGACGCAAAATCGTGAGTCAAATGACAATTATAAACACCATCAAGTATTAAATAAAACTACCGTGTGTCCCTCTCTTTCGTGGATAAACTTAATTAAAATTGGATCAAATGCAGTGTTTGTTAAAATAAACATTTGTAACATATGAAAGAATCTAGATGAAACAAACAGTCGTAGAAATTTCAACATGATTTTCGTTTCATTTCTCTACAAATTTCAGCCATCATTATCTACGATCTGTCCTTTTGACCATGCATACGTGCTACCCTCTACCAGCGCGACTGATAGATTTTTCACAGACATTCACAGATATGTCTCTAGATAGAAAATGGTCATTTTGGTTCAAACTCACCCTGTTGAGAAATCCCATGTGGTAACAATTATCTCTGCGCGCGCACCAAAGGCTTTGTACTCGCTGTTCATGAGCTGAGCTTCACAACGATGTGATAACTGCTCGTTACGCAACCAGTCTAAGGGTGCTTTCCCAGAGATTTAGATCGATCTAAAGATTAAGTTTTAGATCGACCTAACTCCCTGGGGGTTCACGCTAAATTGCAGTCAGCCGAGCGGGCACCATAGTTAATTACCGCCTTACAGCTTTTAGTAGGCGGGACAGACGCTTAAGCCGGCCAAGCTGACAGTAATCTACTGAGACTCCCCACAGGGATAGATCGATCTAAAAATCTATGGAAATGGGGTGTAAGGCTTTTTTATCTGTCACAGATGAGCAAGTGATTTAAGTCAGAGAAATTAACTGTCTTGATTGCTGTCAAGCAGACTTAGACTGGACCTGCTAAGTGGCAGTGCCTGAGCAGTTATGCAAACAATTACCAGCCATGTAATCGCAATGCGCCATGCTTACGAGTTACGGGACCCTGGTAAACGCGTTAGGTGCACACTTCTCTTTCGTGGCAGGGGCGGATCCAGGATTATTTGAGGGAGGTCTGGTTTTCAGGGGTGACATGCCACCGATGCAAAGCCGACCCCCCCCCTTAAAATGGGGTTCGAGGCCTGCTGAAGGTCTCCGAACAATTGTGGTATTTTAGAGGGCGAACGGTGCCATTTAGTGCGGTTTAGAACTATGATTCAGCTAGTCAAAATTCTAATTTCAAGCCCATTGGTGTGATTTTTTTTAGAAATCGACACCCTCCTAAATTCGCCATTGCGTGGATATTATACAATCAAAATGAATCAAATGCAGCCTTAACGAACCAAATAAAATATGGTAGATGAGACAAACCTTCATAAATTAGTAATTCATAGTCTTTTAAAGGTACAACGGATTATGTCAGAGGACAACGCACCACTAACGCGTTGGGTGATTAAAAAATTCGTCTAATACCTAACTACGCCCCCTTTTTATGAATGGTCGCCGTGGGAAGAAGACAATGCGACCATAAGTAATTAACGCATCGACACTAAGGTTTAACAATGATGTTTTTCTCAAGCCAGCACGTAGCGCGAGCCTTGTCAAAATAAGCTGTTGAAGCCGCAGCGGGACGCCAACACCACTTTATCTTTGCTTGTTATGTAATCCGGTAAACGACGTGTGGCTCGTTGAATCAGCTATTAAGATCGCTTCAGTTAATTATAACCTTGTGGAACGTGCTTGCATCATATATCTCGCTAGACAACTTGATTGACTTATTTCACTATGGATTTGCCGAGCATTACTTAAATTTTACCTGGACAGTTTACCGGGCGATCTCGACAGCGTGACCCTCACATTGCAGGGCATGACTTGCGTATATGCACAGAGTCTGCTTGATATGAATATACTAATGCTGCCGTGGTTCAATATGTTCTTTAAAACTTCATATTACACTGTAAACATCTTTTCAGGCCACCATTCACAGAAACTTTATTTTCAAAACAATAACTACATTCCGCGTCGAGTCGACTTTGAGCACGCGGCTGATATTTCATTGGCGCCATTTTTTTACATGTGCAAGCAACAATATATCGAACGCGCTAACTACATTGCGACAAAGTCGTTATAGCTTTTATATAGAACTGTTAAAAGTGCTTATGCACCTCAGTAACCTTTTTGTTTACTTAACACTTTTATATCCAATTGTATTCCAGGTTACAAGTACGGTTACAAAGGTAATTCAGACGATGTAGGCACATGTAGGCCTACATGCCTTATCCAACCACAGTGTTAATTTATTGGTTTGTTTGCGGTCATTTTTATGTTGCCATGTTGCTCACTATTTTTGTTTTAATGTTTCATCTAAAAGTCAACTTAAATTTTATAACCATTAATTGCATGGAATCAACATTTGTTCGGTTAGACTATTTAACTAAATTAGACTTTTAAGTAACAAGTTAAAACTTGAAAACAGTTAAACTTTTAAATTGTGGAAAAAAGATCAAACTGACATTCGAACTAACATATTCACTGCATGCAACGTTCAGTATTATTTTGTTATCAACATTTGCTTGATGGTAAAAGTTGTTGTTTTAAATAGGTCCGTTTTTCATATAAAGTAATAAAAGGGCCCTTAAATAGCCTCATTTTCATAAGAATTTTCAGTGTTAAAATTGTTTGTTTTTATTTGCTTCATTTTACAGATTATTGCTTGCTGAAAATTTGATAAAATATAGGACGTTTTAAGGACAATTAACTTTCTGTAAAAATTATCCAGCGTTTGTATTAATGTAAACAAAACTTAATTTAACCTTCTTTAAAATAATGCAATTGTTCTTCATGTACGCATACACATTGTATATTGAATATGTAGACCCCCCTCCCAAGTAAAACGCTTCTAATATATACCCTGTATCCTTTTTTCTCTTCAGACGGACACAATAGAGAATGTGGTCAAACCAAAAATGCTTTTTGTCAAACAGATAACAGATTCATCAGTATAAATAAAAGGAAACACTTCAGCAATTTTTTCTTCTGTTTTTTTTTTTCTGTCTCAGTGAAAACTTAAATACCCCTAGGATGCTACGTGGGCCAAGCGTTCCAAAGTAACACGTACCAGTATCAGCATTCTTCAACAAAAAAGTTAGAAACATTGGTATCTGCAGTGCAGTAAAATTTGAAAGAAAGACAGAAGACAAAGGCCACTCTCACATCAGGTTTTCTCCCTGTCATTATTTTATATAAGGAGTCTGCTAGTCCTCTGGTTTTCCCTCCTACTTTTTTTTCATCACTACATTCTTGTTTCACCTACAGATGTTATTATAATATATCTTAAATAATAATAAAGCAAAAATGAGTATAATATCGCATAGTTTTGGATCACTATAACATATTTTTTCTTACGACGGGGCTGAACCCGATCTCAATCAACAGCCTACAAAGCACATACCAACATCTCAACATTCCGTTTGAGAACGTTCATTTCGAAAAAAGTATTTGTACAAATTTCGAGTGTTGGTAGTGAGTGCTTTCAATATTTAAGTTGATCTTTGAAATAAAATTACATAAACTGTGATAATTTTGAGCCTTCCAGCAATATTGTTATATGCGTGCTGATGTCTCATCGGTATTCATCGGACATACCTCAACAGACAATGGAAGAGGAAGTGACAAAAGAGTCATGAGCCAGCACTAATGTCCCTGAAATAAAGACAGGCGATGGTTATCTGTAACTACCTCTGGTTGAAGAGAATGAGGTGAGAAACCGACCACTAATTACTGTGGCCATAAACTTCGTTATTAACCTAATTTGCCTTCTCCACCTAGATCTCGAAGCCCAGTCTATCACGATGCAAATATTTACGTCTGTGACCACATTCTGTACACCGCAACGTATACCAAATAATATACATACATTGCGAACAAAATTAAAACAAATATATATAAAAAGCAACTGTCACACGCATGAGATGGACAGTGAATCGTTCAGCTATTCGGGGGATAAAACCATCTGACTCAACGCACTTCATGACAAAGAACGTTCACACAAAAGAAAATGATAAGATAATAAAAACAATTACGGAACGCCACCCTACAATACATACACCTGTATGAAGAGACGTTATCGATGTTTTTTCGAATGTGATGAACTTTCGGGGGCATTTTCAAATACCCCCATTCTCCATGGGCGCTATCGGCCTGCGTAGATCAATCCAACTCTGCGGGTACTCTCGCTGAGTGTAATCAGCTTAACTGAAGACACGCTTCCTAGAGCAGCTATAGGGCCCATACCTTCCACAGAGGCGGTAAATCTATTAAGAATGATGACATTAAGAGGCCACAGAAGTACCCGCTATAATACCAGTAGGAAAGGCACTCTCCAGATACATGTACTGCAGTATGTAACAAAATAATTTAGAAAGAGAATGTAATCAATCTTAAGACTACCACAAAATCATCTGCTAGGTATGTAAATAAAATATATAAAGCCTCAGCTAGTATATGTGTTTTCCAAACAGGCTTTATTTACGCATTGCAACAGTACTGGTGATACCGGTGTGACAGGAATGGTAGTCCTACAATGTAGGAATGGAATTCCGGAGTCCCATATGATTAGTACAGGTTAGGGTTAGTTGGAGTATTGAGGTAAATATATGGGACGAATGTCACCTGTACAAAGTAATGGAGAAATGACTACAGTTTTTAGCGGACTGCCATTCCTGTTACACAGATTCATTACACACAGTCTTCAATCGTCAACCTAATATATTATATGTACTAGCAGTATTTTCTATATAAAGGTTTTCATTTCTGATAGGCATATACCATTATTATAATGTATTATTGTAAGGCCACAGCCTTTTTTTTATAAATGATGTGTTAGAACCAATAAAAATCATTATTATACTGAACAAAAATATAAACGCACGAAACTAAAATGGTCAGTTGAAATGGATAATCATGAAATATGCCCAGATTGATGGTTTATTTGTGAACTGATGGATTTGTTTTGATCAATTATAGTGGTCTGGTTTCACTTGGCCGCTCCCCGTGAGTATACTCAAAGGTTCAGTTTTTACACCCATAAGACTAATGGAGCATGACGGAGTAGAGGTCAATCTGCAAGACCAATACTCGGACACTCTACCGTCTAGGCAATAAAAAGACACGCCAAAATGTGTATTTCTGCCACTTGTCAACATGCCACAGATGTCTGGAACCATGAGGGAGCATGCCATCAGCATGCTCAGTGCTGGCTTGTCAGTAACAGAAGTTGCAGCATGCCTGAATGTGCATCATTCCACTGTCAGCCGTCTGGGAACACGCTTCAGAGACACTGGTAGCATTAGGAACCACCCTCATGCACCATGTCGCCCAACAAACACCTGTGGAATGTTCTGGATCAGAGTTTTCAGCCATCATATTCCAGCTCTCGAAAATGTTCGCCAACTGCAAGAAGCACTCCAGGAGGAATGGGATAATATCCCTTAGGCATCTATTGACAACTTAGTGATGTCCATGCGCCGCTGGTGTACTGCTGTGCACAACTTTAATGGTGTCTGTGAACTCAGGATGTTGACCCCCAATGGTGTATTTGATGCTCTAACTCTTGGACTATGCATTTAAACTTCCCTTAATGCTCTCAAATTGATGTCTATTTGTCGAGTAAAATATGCTGTTATTTTTGGCTATATACTCTAGTTCCATATATTAAAATAAATCTACATATTCTTTCGTGCGTTTATATTTTTGTTCAGTATATTTAGATAGACTTTCTTTTATAATTTTTTTCACTTTGTCTGCAGGGTAGAAGGAATCTGCAGCAAAATGTTACCATTTTTATATAACTCTACGACATCATGCTAACATTAAATCACTTACTTGACTTAATATAATAGTGCCCAAACAAAATCTGGCTTCTTAAAATAAGAATGTTTAATTTTGTCGAGCTTCAGTACAATGTACATTAATAACAACTTGATCGACGTCTTTCCTTAGTACTTTAGTTCGTCAACAGATTCAAGCACACAAGATATTTCTTTTCTGGAATATCGTTCATTTTCCCTGTACAATTAGCATTAATGTTAGTCATATATCAACTGAAAAAAAACCCGTTTGTTATTGTGTAATTATCCCATCATAACGCCTGTAGAAGTATATATTATTGAGAATGCGTCAAGTAAATCAAGTTGGCGGCATGTCAGTGTGAATCATTTTCACGCGGTGGAGCCCCTGCTTGCGGTTGTATTGGATGTTTCACATACGTGTTTGTGCGCTCCCTGGTGACGAGTCTTGGAGTCGGCACGAAAACTGCCGAGGAAGAGCTTTCCGAAGCTTCCCGAGTTTCCTCTCCCACAATGCTGCTCTTTGTTTCCGGTGCACTTGGTTTGACGTAATCGTCCAGCGCCTCACTCTGCTCATTGTCCTTTGTGTCTGGAATTGCACCACTTCCACCGATTGTAAGGTAATCGCCCAATTTTCCATCTGGTTTGGCACTTTGGCCGTCCATGGAAAGGTAGTCCCCCAACTGTAAATTTTGATTAAACCAGTTAAAACCACATGATATACAGCACTAGAGAAAAGTATCAATACAAAAATACAGGCCTATATAAAATTACGAAGGGTGCAGATGAATCATCTTGCTAATTATGCCGTACTTCATACAGTCTAATTTATATCACACAGAGAAGTGCAGGCGGATAGAATTTAAGATTTAAACAAAAATTGGTGCCTTTAAGATATACAGGTGATACAAGGTTGGATTTGGGATTCGGGATATCAAGAAGGGAGTGGGACAAAAGAAGCGACCATTAGTAAAACCACGGTGAGTCCATACACTCTACAAATGACCGGCTGAGTGGTGACTAGCTGGCGTGCAAAACACCTCGTCGAAGGGAATTGCAAACAGAATAACCAGATAAAATCCATACCCGGAAAGTTTAAGGAAAAAATTATTTCTGATTTGTAAGTTGTGGGTAGGAAACCTCAAGGTGCATCAAGCACATTTTGGGTCTCATCCTGTGACTTTTCTCCTGTCTAGAAAAAAACAAGAGAGACGGCGACTGCAGGATGTGTCATTATGGGCTCGAAAAAAAAAAGGACCACTCACTTTAAGGTCTCCATTATCATCATCAGTATCGTAATCCGGAGGTGGCTCGGCGCCGATCGACGTGACCCGCGTAGAAGCGGATTTGTACGCCCATAGTGGCTTCTTTGCGATCGGCGGGGGTTGCTTTGCGATGGGGTTGGTGTACTGGTCGGAGGCGCCTTGGGACCGCTCTTCCGTTAGCCTCCGTGTGAGATGAGGGAGGTGGTGTGTATAAGCTCCCGATTTTTGCCGTATGGCCTTGTGCCTCGAGACTTCTGGCGGATCAGGAAGATCGTCTGCCGAAATGCTGTCAGTTCCGTCTGCTGGTATTTCGTCGTACGTGGATTGTCGTTCCCACAGTTCCACAGATTCTGCGGAGTCGCCAGAAAACCCCGAGTCGGCTGAGCTTTCTATGTTACTTCGTAATCTTTCGTATGATTCTTCTTGGTCTTCTGGTTGTTCAAATGCGGAAGAAGGGACAGAATTCCTTCGTTTCCTATAATTTTACCAAATGGTGTTCAAGTATAATTATTGTGGGTGTATCTTTAGTTTTAACAACGTGATCTTATCAGCCATTGAAATTAAGAGATTATGCGCCTATGGAATAGGGTAGAAAAAGTATACTGTAACGTTTAACTTTCCGCGTTCACTAAAATATGAGCTACTAATCTTGCAGTATAAAACATTTTGATAATCATAGATTAGGCATTTTCTTAATACTGTTTGGTTAACTCACTCACTTCAGTTTATAAAATATGATTATAATTAGGACTAGCAAAACCGCTGCTCCTCCAACCCCGCCCGCTATCCCTGCTGGCATAAAATCTAAAAAGTGAAATAAAAATCATATACAGTCTAAGACTATTATAAAATCAGTTCAGAGTAGTTACAGATACATTTTATTTAAAATGTTATTATATTAAAAAATGCTAGTTATTAAAACATAGCAGCTGTGAATTAAGCGTTTATATCATACACACTCGTCTTAGTAACACTCCATTATTGTGTTAGAGTGGAATAAGTGGGAAGACGTAACAAATCGTTTTAAATCTAAGCCCGGGAGAAAGGATTTTACTCTCTTCTCTATCCATTTGTTATCGCATTGGTAAGAAATGATGGCCCGTATAACACGTACAGGTTACGTTCAATGTGATGGAAGTGTGTCCAAGACGGGGCTTGCCTGTATAAATCAAAGACAATCAGGCTACCACACGGTGTGCCTAATACATGTATATAAATGACAACGTTTTCACAATGCCCCGGTTGCTCTTTTATTTCTTAATACACTGTACTTGGTGACTCCGACAGCAAACATAAAAAATACTCAGGTATCATAAAAACACCAATATAATGTACTCACCTACGTAAGGGGGCGTCGTATTGGAAAACGGTCTTGTATGAACAGCGCATAGAACATCTGAAAAAAAAGTGGCCAGTGCAGCACCAACATTCAGTCAAAGGTGAGCTCACTTCAGATATGTATATTGAAGCCAGTGTAGCAGTATTACAGTGATGCACTGGATGTGGAACATAGTACAATTAACAACTGGAACCGCAAGTACTTGCTCAATACCGCCCTCCCAATAAAACCCTCATGTTTTACAGTGGCAACAAAGAAAGTTTTCGTGGTCAATTTAACATCCAGAAGCCCTGTGAGACAAATATATGTTTTCAGTTAAAGCAGCCCGGGGGGGGGGGGGGGGGAGATAAAAAGTTTATAACTACAATATGCTTTAGCTTCTGAAATATGTGGGCAGTGTTGCATAAATCTACACCTCGATGCCTACACATGTACTGTACCTGTACATGGTGTGCCGCAACCGTCTGTAGTCCTGATCCTTGTTTCTGGGGCACCACATGGACACGCTGTAATACAAGGCTCAAGGCCGTTGTAGGAATACGAGTCACACTGACAGTACCCTGGAAGATGACACGTCAGCCATGCAGAATGCTCGCCCCAAAGCAAAACGATAAAATGTGGATTATTGTGTAAATGGACAATGTCCACTTATGCGTCTTGCATTATACATGTAGTACAAAAATTAAATATGTTAATAAGCCGTTTCTATTTTATGTCGATATTAATTCCCCTTATATTGAATATTATTTTACTCCTCGTAGTTGCCTCACCGCCACTTAACCTTGCCTGCAGGACAAACATCGCCGCACATTACGTGCGTTACTGTCAAAGAAACACTCAAAAGTAACTGCCAAAATACACAAGCACGCTATCCACGCAAGAGTCTCGTCTTCGTCTGCAATACAGCTCAAATAAGACCAGAGGCTAAACTTACCAACGCACTCAGATACATGGGCAGCTCCCATCGTTTCCGTGGTTGTGTTATTTGGACAAGGGCGGCAAAACAAGTTTTCTGAAATGGGCTGGTAGGTTCCTTTTGGACAGAGGACGCATTGCCTCGTTTCAGTGTTGAAGAATGTTCCTTGTGGACAAGACACTAAAAAATGACGCATACGCGTGATTTTAAAACCAATAACCCTCTTTGTATGAGGAAATGTATGTCTGTGATATTTACAATTACGTTTAACAACTGGACGACAAATAACATTCATTCAGCACTCCTTATATATTATCTAAAGCCCACCGCAAGTCTGTAACAGGCTACGTACAGTATGGGTTACGGGCTGGGATCCGGTTGGGCAATATAGATGCCATGATAATAGAAAATAGAGAAACTGGTACAGAGTGGGAAAGAGATCGGTTGATCTTTAATTTTGCAGCATATTTAATAATTCCATTTGTAGCTTATCAATGTCGGGGAACTATTTCATGTGCAGGGCGTGATCTTTGCAAGTAATTATTGGTAATATATAGTCGACATCAAAATTAGAATTTGTGAAATCTGTTTCTTTCTCACAAGACCCAGTTTACATATGTACTGCTTTGCCGAAAAACTGCATTGTATAATCTTACATGAAGTTATTTGCTGTCAATTGTGTAAATTTTGAACCTAAATGCACTATTTCACGCGTTGTTTTTTCCTTTTCAACCAAGGCGATGTACGGAACTTACCACAACCTCCTGAAACTAGCTGCTGCCCATCACGGCAGTTGCCCTGTGGACTTTGGATATAAGATCTATCTGTGACCACTGTGATTTCATGCTGTTCCACCGCTACCACCACCATAAATGTTATTTCATTTATTAATTCCCTTCTCAACTCTAATGTCGAACTATCCACCATCGTTTGCAAATCATGTGGTATGGATATGCTAATAAAAAATTAACTTTGCTGGTTATTTCTTAAAATGCTCAATGCAATTAATTTCTATGACAATGAAAACAGTGCGCGTATATGATGATAGTAGGATTGGCGTATAATGATAGTATACGTTCAAATATCTCAACAAACAACATCGTCAATATACAAAAAGTCCTCAAATAAATATACGTTAACAAAGAGACACAAAAAAACAAAATGTCTTTGCCTTTTTCGTGATCATCGTCAGAAATATATTTAATCAAATTCCGTTGATACCTTGATTCTACGTCAGTATTAAATAGCGCTATAGGTTCAGGTTCACATGTTATGGTGACATCAGTTTTACACGAGTACACGCTGCAAACACCCTTAAATCCGCGGTCTAAAAGCATCCCCTTGAACGCTGTCGCCATCTGTTGTCTGTACACGGCATCCGTACAGCGCCCTTTGAGGTTAGCAAGGATGAAACTCCCGGATAGTCTAACTCTGTTGTATGGATGTTTGGCTGCAATATAAAGTATCGAACAATTGCGAATGACCATATTGATCTCCATAGATATTTTAAAGCCAGAGTCATAAAACTAGAAGAACTTAAAGAGTACACCAAGAGCCGTGTTAACACATTGAACAGCACTGTCTATTGGAGGATGTCAACTTCATTTTTCTTCATTATACCAATCCCAGTTTCTGGACAGTAATAAACGACAGAAACATTTTTCTTTATTTGGGCTTGTATTACTCTATACCCATTGCATGGTGTGCATCACACTAAAACAATACAGTGTGTGGCATTCCCAGGATACACAGAACGTTACTTTAACGTTACCCTGACGTTTATATATATAACTAAAAAACGTTATGGTAACGTTGTAATAACGATCAGTGTTTGCTGGGCCACTGCCCAAGTTAGCAGTAAATCACAGCGAATAAAGAGACTATATGAGTACATATGCAATGGACATCAACTTTGTTACCTAAGCAAGGGATGGCTGTCGACGTCGGGTGCCAGCGACCTTGCGTGCAATTGTAGAAATAGTCCGAGAACTGAGGTAGCGTTAAGAATGAGGATGTACATTTTATTGTCCACAGATTGGATTTCCCATCTACACGCGACACGGACTTTCCGTTGAAAGGGTCGGGAAGGTCATTGCACGTTTTGCCTATAACGGAAATAAACGAGAAGCAAACGTATGAAACAGGAAATGTTGCGTTTCAGTGATCATGCAGAACTGTTTTAATAACTCCAATACACTTTTGAATCAAGTAAATTAAGACACTTTTTACTAAGGATTACGGTAAAATATGTCAAAACAGGAGACAATGATATTTCTCAATTTTTGCAATTCATTAAGAGGACCAAAGCGTCTGAGAGAGAGAGAGAGAAAGAGAGAGAGAGACCTATCACAGCAATTTCACTCTTGCAGGTAGCCACGTTCCCAGATACATCCGCTGCGCTATACGTGATGTCATAAGATCCCCAGGACACTGGGCTATTTGGATTTCTGTGGAAAGAATTACGCATTAGGAATGCCTTTCAACAAGTGGTCATTAACAACATCTGTGCAGCGCAAGGTATAAATGTACAAATGTATGTATTTCCATCACACGCATCTGCTTTCCTCGTTCACAAAATATAGCACATTGGTAATTCAAACGATTAGATGGACCATATAGCAGTATAAATATCAAACGTTCGTAAATAAAGCATTTAACAGTTCTCTTAATATAACTGAATATATTTTATGTTATACAGATTCATGCAGGGTACATGTGATCATTTTCTGGTATTTAGAACATTTTCTGGTATTCGTTGAATTGTCAATTAGTTAAGAAAATAATATATGCCATCTAGAACATTTTTACCATAATATACAAGCATACGTATCCATTATCAACGATAACCATTTTTATGTAAATGTGCTCTTAATATGAAAAAAATGTCTAACCCCTGAGCTGTCTCCTCAATTATGCCCACATTGTCGGTAAAGCGAGGCGCCTGGATGTCCATACCGCTTGGACTCGTTTTGGAGTAGATTTCCCGGTACGGCATGCAGTCCGGCACGTGCGGGGGTTCAAGGTCGACTACTGATATCACGACGGTACAGGCAGTGGATAAACCAGCGCCATCTATCCCAGTGTAGACGACAGTGTGATTACCTGTTTTTTTATGTGTAAAATAATGAGAATTAAGTTTCATTTAAATTATTAAATGTTCAAGAAGCTATGTGCAAAAGTCTTATTGGAAATAAACGTTTTCAAGCTTAAGTCAAATACAAGCATGCATGTTGACAAAAAATGCAAATAGCGTTATAACAACTTCACTTTTTTAACGTCATTATAATGTAAGCAATATCAAAGTTACCTATAACTGTTTAGATAATTTATTGAAATCGCATGTACGAATACGCACATACAAAAGTATACTAAACCATATACTGGTGTAACGTGACAGTATGTACCCCATAATAGAGAATCCGCTTCCCATTCATTGGGACAGGTAAGTCTCGACCTAGATTTTGACCCACTTAGGTCAGGCTAACCCTAACCATTATAGCTTAGTCCCTGCCCCCAAAAAACTACAAGCCGATAATGCACTACCTGGTTGGAGGGATGTTGGAAGTGTGGCGTTCTTTGTCACTGTGACAACTCCAGAATTGTCATTGAATACTGGCGGTGATATGGTCACATTTGTTTTGTCCTGTCCTTTTTCTAAGACTATCCTAGTAAACGGGATACAGTCGGACAGACTCGGAGGCTCAATATCTATGGCAAAAAGACAAAACAAGAGCATATTTATGGGAACTGTTATTCAAAAGCCATGGATTTTCGTTATGCAATTTCTGAAGATATCATCCTTCAAAATTTCGCTCATCCAATGTATAATTACGCTTAAGAGCTTGTCCACGAGAGAACCAGCCCAGGGTGGCAAGGTGGGGGTCAGCGGATTTCAACCAAATTTGTTGTATGGAGGCATATTAGGAAGTTATTCATGAGTTAGGAAGGAATCCCAAAAATATCTTTTCTTCAGAGAATTATAGCCTATTATAAGTCATGGCTTATGTGGCCTCTTTGAGACTCCATTTTTACCTTGGAAAAATAATGATAAATTTTGTGTAAATTAAACAAAAATGGAGAAAACTAAAAAATATTAGACCTTACAAACATTGAAAACAATCATTTGGCTTGCCACAGATATATGTAGAATTCAGATAAGACCCTGCTTGGGCGAGCCACACCCATTTATAACACCCCTCCCCCCAAAGTCCAATTTTGACACTACCATCTTTAATTGCATATATCTCCATCTTCACAGGGTTTACAGCTATAAAACTGCATGAATATTTTAGGCAGATATGGATCACTCCAAATCAAGTTTCAAAAGTTACTGCTGTATTAAAACAGGTACTGAAAAATACCCCCAAAGTTGGCCATTTTTAAGGCAAAAAATCGTGGTGGATTCATTCAAGTCTATGTAGACAATGGGTTTGATTAATTTATTAAAACATTTTGCTCTACAATGTTGTTACTAAATTAATAGGGCTGGTGAGCATGGAAAGTGGATGTGTTCTAATGAATATCAGGTCAGTGGGTCATAGGTCAAGGTCATTGGGCTTCATTTTTGTAAATTGTCATATATGGACTTTTTCATTTGTATGGACAAAAAGTTAAGAGGAAATAAATCTTAGATTCTATTACTTTGGATAAGCACTGGCAATTAACTTGAGAGTTTACATGATTATATATATATATATATATATATCATCAATTTGGTGAATACAAATTAAAATCTTAGTTTAGTGAAGATTTCTTTTTGGTGCAATATTTATCATTTAGAGATCCGGATATGCCTTATAGTATTTATGAGATCAAAGCCAGAACAAATCTTTTTTTTAATTTTCAAAAGTTTTTTTTAATCATCCACACCACTTTTTGGTGACTATTTATGAGCAAACAGTAACTAAAAAATATTCAAATTAGTTTATTTTTGTCTCAGATGAATAATTACAAATAATAAAAAAATCACAAAATTATAATACAGCAATACATGCAAAGCAGTGCAACATTAGTTGTGATCATTACAACCTATATCATTATGTAAGGTCTAGCAAAACAAGATAATTCCATTCAAAAAGCAAAACTAACACAACTGCAAAATATATCCTGGTGTTATGAAACATCTTAACAGTTTTATATCAAACATTACAGCTCATAACATCAAAGTTTATAATACATTCAAAAATAACTGCCGATTTTTTCTTCCTGAATAGTCTGTAACCCTCCTTACTGACATTTCAATCTCATCTTCATGCTCACAAATGCTAGGTTCTGCTGGCCTGTTTCTTGTGCCCTTCTAAACTCCTTCAGTAAAAACTCCTTTACTTTATTTGAATATAGTTTAGAGTTCTCTAGGTATAGTCCCAGTTGGTACATTTGCCACAGAAAAACCCAAATTAACTTTAACATCAGTATCACTCATATTAAAACTGCTCAAGGAAGAGAGACACCTTTTCTCATGTTGTAGGAATCAAGAAAGCCAAATTGTTGTAATTGGACACTCCAGTCCACGCAGGTTTGGAAAATGTCTGTCTAGCTGGATGTAGAAAATGGCAGCAAAAGCGCACCCCTCCACTCCATCTGCAGAAACTAAGGACTCATGCATCTCCTCAGCATTTGTTATATTGTGGCTTTCATTTACATACATGCCTTTCTACAACATCCATCATTTCCACACTAGTTTCAGTTTCTGCAAGGCTTTGGACTCTTTTGCTGACCATAAGATCACTGTGTGTCAAATAAAACCTCTCAAATGTGCCTGAAATATAAATATAGCTTACTATAGACACATGAAAACACTTATCTCAAAGTTAATTGATACGTTGATGAAAAATAAATTATTATCCCATGTGTCAATGTTTTATAGGTAAGACATGGTTTCGAATATAAATTATGATGAGACTAGCAATTTTGCCAAGACCAGCCCTAACTTCAATCTAATTCCAATTGTTACCCTTAAATTTATTTTACCCAAATACCCT